GTGTGTGTGTGTGTGTGTGTGTGTGTGTGTGTGTGTGTGTGTGTGTGTGTGCGTTTAAAGCAAAGAAAAGAGGGTAGAAAGATGAAGAAGACGGATGTTTGTCAGACGAGAAGACGCAAACCCCATAACAGTTGCCAGCTGTCAACCATACAAACACAGTACAAAGTATAACGTTTATATACAGTAATCAATGGAAAAAATACTATTATCAAGAGGATCAGAAAATCAACATACTAGCCTTCAAGAACAATAAATACAGTGTTTGAGCAGTTCAGTCAATTTTGTCTTTATGTCTTTTAGTTTTAGTAGAGGTTTTACGGCGCTCGCAACTGCATACGGTCATAAGAGCGCCAGAAGATTAAAGGTGTTACAAGAGAGTAACAAACAAACAAAAAAAAGAAGGGGAGATAAGGACGATAGATGTTAGATAGGAAAGAAGAAGCAAACCACACCAGAGCACCGGCCAACCACCCACTCTTTATGTCTGCTTTTATTCCCGACAGAAAAGCCATATAAAATGACCTCCCACAACCTAGTTAATGTACTGCGAAATATAAAGCGAAACCTTAAAAGGTGATTTGCAGCCATGCAACCGTTTTAAGAATGACACACTGTGAAACGGACAAACATGGTAGGGAAAAAATGTCTTTGAATAGAAAAACGACAGCAGAATGTCAATGCAAGGATATAAATCCGAAAGGCGAATGATAATAATTTCAATGCAAGAAAAGAAAACTGACATCAAAAGACAATAATGCCATTTCAAGAAGAAGGAAAAAAAAACGATAGCAGAATAAGTATAATGTCAGTTCCATTAAAGAAAACTGACAGCAGAATAAGGACAATTTCAATGAAATAATAATATTATTTTTTTACAACTGATAACGTTATTCCTTACTTCGTTAGCGCGTACACACTTACACCACCACGGGGTATTTACGTAGGAATGTCGTAAAAAAACAAACAGCAACAATTTTCTTAAAAGCCCTAACAAAAACACAATCTTACAATTAAAGTTTACAACTTCACAAGTCCGCCAACGTGAATGCTCAATTAACTGACCAGCACTTATTAAGTAAGGTCTGAATACAACACTTCCTCCAAGTCCGAGAAAATGAACAGCAATGTCATCACGTGCAGCAGATCTTGCCAACAGCTCCGTCCCGGAAGCGAATGACCGCCCGGGCCGCGAATCAGACTGTAAACAAACGAGCCAGCTATGGATGAACTGTAAAGCAAGCAGCGGGGGCAGAAAGAAGGCGAAAAAAGAGAGAGAAAAAAAGAAGAAGAAGAAGAAAGAAAGAAGAAAGAAAAGCAGAACGTTTCGGCACTCGTAATACAAATCGACGGAGTGAGCAGCAGGAAAAAAAGAGAAAGACAGAAAAAGAAAGGAGGGAAAGGGAACTAAAAAAAAGGGAATAAAATCTATCATTGGCACACGAGGATAAAAGCACGCGACCGGCTACGCTCTCGCCGCTACAACCAACCAACGGCACGTGGACGCCTCTTCAGTGGCTCGCTTTTTTGACTCACAACAGACTTGCTCAAATCCCTCCTTTCTGCACCTATCCCCCTCCCCCTCCCCTCCGCTCTCAAATCTCTGCTTTCTGCACCCATCATCCCCACCACCACCATCTCCCAAATCCCTCCTA